AATTCTGGTAGATTTGGGACAGTTATATTTTCTAGTTTTGCAATCAAACGATTTTGTATATTTATTTTATCTGCAGAGATTCAATTCCATAAAAAAAGAGATTAGGTGAATATGAATCCAGGCCTGTGTTTTTCTTTGGTTCAAATATCCGACAGTGGAACATCTTTAATGGTGATTCAAATGTAGGCGTAATGCAACGTGCTAAATTATAGCAGGATATTCTACAGGACTCTGTATAATTTGATGATTTAGTTATCTCTGCTGGGATTACCTCATTGGGCGTTGGGATAGCCCATTGGTTATAACATAATCTTCTTTTAACTGAGCATGCGCGTTACCTTAAAATATCACAATATTGTAGTGTGCATACCTCTGTGACAGTATGCCCATGCTGTTGGAAAAGAGCAGAACATAACTATCAGCCTAAATGGTAAACAACTCACATTTATTCTAACTAGATGTGTTGGAGTCAATAGCTGTAAACCTTATTTCAGTGCATAATTTGGGAAATGACCTAGATGCATGATAATTGTCTTCTTATATGAGCAAATTGGCCTATAGCAGCTCAATCTTTTGGATTTTTTCTTACAGCTACTGTAAGTAGAGTATTTTTTTTTCAGTCCTCGCTGTCTGGCCTGTAGCCTACACTATGCTTGGCTGGCTCAGGCCGCTAGTGCTATAGACAAGTTTGTGGACTTGAAGTTAACTCAATAGTGACCAGACAAAATGGAAATCTACATCTCCCTAAAACAATGGCAGAACCATAGCCCAGCATTACTCCCATTTATCAAATACCACTGTATGTGAATGTGTATTTACATTTTAAACAGTCAATGTATCCCAACGGCACAGTTAAATGAATGATACCGTGATTGATTGTTTTGCTTTAATGGACATTGTGCTGAATGAACTTGCAGGTTTTTGCTGTGGTTTAATGTGACACATCCCAACTCTCAGACTATATCATTTAATATGATAATTCATCGCTGTGTTCGGTGTGCTTCCCTGTGCTTCAACACTTTCCTCAGTTCTTTTACCTTCTGTTGAGCCCACAACAGTATAAAGGCTCAAGTTCTGGTCTGCATTCACGACATAAACCACTAGATTTCATACATTCTCAGAATAAAATAAGAAAATGTTTTGGCTCACATTTGTTTCAGCGAGAACACTGTTTGTGCATGTAACATTTGCATCCACCTATTTTCTGAATGCTTCGTGTTTTCACAAAACAAATATTTGCATTCAGAGTTGTTTTTTCAAATACATGTAGCCTATTTCAAATTCTAATTTAGATTTCTGTGCAAGTGTAGCAGCTGATAATGATTTTAATCACAGATACTAGAGCTCTACATGACGAATGACAATTTATTTGTAATTTGGAATAATGTTTGACTGTATTGCATCGCTATTGGGCATATTTTTCTGCTGTGTATGTGTTTGTTTTTTGTTTGTCACTGGAGAAACACAGTCTCAGAAATGTTTTGTCATTACGTATTTGCTCTGTGCTATTAAACACAGGTTTATGCTTGCATATGGTACAATAATAACTGCACAGATCGTCATCTATATTTCATAAATGATATGGTCAGTTGGGTCTTGAGTGACTGGTACAATACTTGGTGTTTGCCTTCATATGGCTGATGGAGAGGGCTAATTGACTTCTTGCTGTAATTTACTGGAGCATCTGTCTGCAAATGGACTCATCCCAAACCTGTTAATTCATCTAAATTTCATAAAGTCATGGCAAGACTGTGCACTGCCATCCCTCATCAATTATAATATTTCAGCACACTCCACATTAATGAATTCAGTTGTTTAAACATACACACACACACATGCACAAATACACACACGTAGGCATTCCTGTTTGTACCACATATTTGAACACACAGTAACTTCATGTATCTGTCACACACAGATTTGGATGCTTGATGAAATAATTTTGTGCTCCCCATCTTTCTCTCGCTTTATTATTTTTTGTCATGTCTTGTGTTACATTGACATTAGTGACCAAGTGTAACAACTGGTGATTATTATACAGACTGGGAATAGTTTATTATGGATATACACAAATATTTATAAATGTGTGTGTATGTGTTTATTGACTTTATGCGAATGGTTTTCCCAAAAAAGGTGATGAGTGTTACTTAAAAATTCTTCTCATCGCCACAAAGGAATAAAATGTTATGTATTTTCAGTCCAGTTTACAACATGGCGATATGCTGTAGCTCTGGCATTTGTACTCTGCTTAAATTTGTCTTTCCATATCGCCTTGTCACTCATTTGCTAGACATTCACTGGACTGGGAGTGACTTGGACCTTATGGATGTAAAGAGTATTCCCTGACATGAATGTTTTGATTGCTTGGAGTGATATTTTGTGTGCAACAGTCACTAGGATTTTGTCTGGCCTGTCAGGCAACCAACATAAATGACCGGACCCATAAAGCTGGAGGGTTAGAAGGGAATGCAGATGTCAAAATGCTAAAAATGTGTTACAATGTAGATATTTAAACTCAAGTTGTATATGCATTAATGTGCGGTTTCCAAATTTAAAGCGCCACATGGTGACGGATTTAGTGTATTTTGTCAGATTTAACAAACAATACTGGAAAAATCTTACAGTGCTCAACTAAGAAATAAATAATCGCAATATTTTTTTGTCCATTACTCTTATAATTTTATTGTTTATCGATGTGAAACTAAACTTACCACACCAACATGAATCCTACAAAATTAGAATATTGCGCTAAACTTATTTGGCAAATTTTAATCATATAAATGTACTGATTAAATTGCACTCATTTAGTTGATTATAATATTATTACTAGATTTAGATGAATAGACTTGTAATTTATGGAAAACTGCTTATTAGGCTAAACTCTAATTAAGTTATGAGCACATTAAGAGCTATTTGGTCATTTAAAGAAATTTTGATATGATGAACATTTAAATAATCTTAGTCCTTCATATAAAATTTTACAGCATAATCTGCAGCTATCAAACAGGCCTATGGCGCACACACTTCACTTGCTGTAGTGCAGTTATTCTGCATAGTCCTCTCTTGTTTTGCCTTCTTGCTGCAAATGAGGAATCATTTGGGGCGCAGGTCTGTGAGTCCTTTATGCTTTCTGAATGACAGATTGAAAACTTTCGGTTTATATGGCTGCAGTCCTCAATCATTTTCGGAAATGCATCGGGTTAAAGGTTGACAAACATGAGCGTCCATTACAATCATGACGGAATTAGGCCAGTTCTGGCCCTGTCTACTATTTTGCGGCATTTAATGTCAAGTGGGCCCCTTGCTTTGTCTCTGTAGGTGACGTCAGCATAACAATGTGGAAAAGGGAGTTTTTTCTCTCCTTTTCTCTTTTTTTTTTTTAAAGAAAAAACTTGAAAATTCAGACAGCTACAGTCTTTGGAAATAAGAAGGGTTTTTTCCACCTTAAACCCATAAGCTGCAGTGCCCAGAGCCCACGCCACGTCGTGTAGATTTCAATAAAAGCAACAGATAAAAGAATTTGGCTGAACTGGTGCAGGTAGACGGACGTGCGCGGATAGAATCAGAGCCACCCCAAAGTGCAAGGGGACGTGCAGGAATACGTGCAGCACTGGAGGAGAGGAGAGTGGAGCTGCTGTCCTCACAGCACCCCAAAGTATGACAGTTTATCTGAGTTTCCCAGGACCAGTGCAGCCTACCCACTGCTGTTTGTCACTTTTTAGAATTTACATTTTACGTAACCAATTTGTATATCTGTCCTGTAGCCCACAGGACGCAAGGTGTGCGCTCCTAATAGTTATTCATTTATTTTAGAGTAATGACAAAGGGTCTATGTATAGAAAAGGGCTCAGAGGTAAAATAGTACATCATGTTCTGCAGTGCTCTCCAGTGACACTGCTGCAAAATGTCAATGCGAATTAAGTTTTTCCAATAAGATTATCATATGGTTGTTGTCCGGTGCGTCATGTAGAACTACTTGTTGCTTTATAAAAGTTTCATTTTTCTTTGGACTTGAGGCTTAACAATAATCTTGTCGTGAAAATACACATAGGCTAAAATACAATAAAAGTGTAACGCAAAGATACTTTTACCTCCATGAGAGCTCACTAACTTATATATCACATGAATAGATACTGCGTTAAACGTAATGCTTATACAGGCTAATGACGCACAAGGCATTGATTGTATTTTTTTAAATTTTCAAATAAGTGATTTTTATTGTTAGAATATGTTTCCTCTAACTTTCACTGTTTTCAAATGTGGCACTCTACTCAAAATGCAAGTCTTGACAATAATTGGCCTGGACACGCAGTGGCCAGTCTCTCTATTATTCTTGCAGGGCAGGAGTGGGACATTTGCTTTGGCAAGATATCCAGTGGGGGAAAAAAAAAAGAGCCGGTAGATAGGCTGTGATTGTCTTGTGTTCTGCGTATGTCTGCATTTAATCACTTTTATCTTTTTTTTTATCAGATCATTAGTATTACACATTAACCCTAACATTTTTTAAAGAGATTTAGAGAACGATGTCTTATAAGAATGAGACTGAAGTTAAAGAGGCAGCAATATTTGCGGGTATCGCGGCACATTTCAAAGCATTTTCTCTGCGATATTTGAAAACGGAGTCGTGCAGTGAACGCCTGCGTGTCCCTTTTAAAACAAACCCAGCGCCTGTCAATCACAGCGCATTCCAACCAATCCCAAAGCTCCCTTTTTAAAAGCAGGTTTGCCTGCTGTGCTTTTATATTGCACCATGGCCTGTTTCGAAGCATTTTTACTACCACGGTTATTGCCACAAATCAAGAGGGCAAAGTGAACGGCATGGGACTCACACCAACTTTAACGAAATTGAGTCTGGTTCCTACTTCTGCGAAGTTCACGGCCAAGAATTTCACATGCAGATGATATACAAACAAGGAAGCATGGAAACAGAATTTCTAGGTGCATCCTGAGTGCTGAATTGGTTTGATTTTGCAAACTCATAGCCAAACTCACAACCAAACATGACAAGCCTTTCGAGGTTTAGTGGCTGCCCTCTCTCTTGCGTCAACCCCGGGGAGAGCAATACTGAACCCAGCGTGGTGCTGCCACCTTTGGCAGGAGAGCACATGGGACACCCCACTGGCAGTTCCTTAAAACTCTGCCCCTCGCACAATTTGCGAGACTACCCCGAGACGAGGTCCAGTGCATATGTTGACCATTCGGTTCCCAATTTTTCAGACTCTGGATACCCCAGCCACCGGTTAGAGCACAGCCCTAGGGGCATTATCATTGGAGCCAATCTTTCTGGAGCCGGCATGCCACCCGTCACTGATCAACTGGCATCAAGAGCTAACCAACATGGCGGGATTGGAAGGTATCGTGACTTTCCTGGCTGCAGGGACAACAGGAGCCATGCTTTTTTCACAAGTTATCAGGAGCAGGCCCACGCCTCCACCGACGCATCTCGGGATCTCGGCAGCCAGATGATGCTGGGTCTACCTGGCGACCTCCTCACCCGGACTCACCCTTATGGCCAAACTATCAACCCCAAGGGAAACAGCCAGCAACTTGTGACACAATTCCTGGGTCTGTACAAGCCCCTCAACATGGCAATTCAGCGTGGAGGAGGCGACGCTTTCCTCAGGTGCCCCAAGCAAACAGTGAAGCATGAGCTGGTGTGTAAGTGGAGTGACGGCCAAGAGGGGGCTGGGAAGCTGCCTTGCTCCAGAGCCTTCGGGACCATGTATGAACTTGTCACCCATGTGACAGTGGAGCATGTCGGAGGACCTGAGCACTCTGAATATGTTTGTCACTGGGAGAACTGTGCGAGGGACAGGAAGCCTTTCAAAGCCAAATACAAGCTGGTGAACCACGTCAGAGTCCACACAGGGGAAAAGCCCTTTCCCTGCCCCTTTCACGGCTGTGAGAAAGTTTTTGCAAGATCAGAAAATCTTAAGATCCACAAGAGGACTCACACAGGTTAGTTAATAATCATACTACTACAACAACAACAACACAATAATAATAATAATAATAATAATAATAATAATAATAATAATAATAATGGGGTGACATTTGTATTAAAATGTGGTCAGTATTTTTAACTTTACAAAATATTTAATTAATATTGATCAGTTTTGCATTGTTTATCTGTGTGAACATATATTTTTTATTTTTCATTATTTAACTAATTATGGAAGTTTGCTGAAACTGTCACATTATTCAAATGATGATATCATCATTATTATTATGATTATCATTGTTGGGTTTTTTATTAATAATTAATTATGAACACATGGTGCTAGTGTTATTTTAGGCCTACATCGTTATAAAAATGTTATTATACAAAGCTTCTCTGGCTGCTGCTTGCCGTCTCTGTCACTGCCTGCTTTTGCAGGAGAATGACCTGTACAGGCTCCACGGAGGAGCCACAGATGAATAGTATAAGCCACTTAAAAACGAGTATAGTCTGCAGGCCTAGTGGTTTGGGTGCCTCTCCCACTTCATTCAGTGAAATTATTAAATAAATGCCGGGACACCGGAGAGCTGTGACGTAGCCGTTACGCTGCCTCTGCCTCCCAGGGACTCATCCCCTGTGCTCAGGAACAGAGCACATCACACAGTGGTGTAGAAGGAAATAAAGAGGGAATAAAAAGGTCAGCAAAAGCAAATAATTACGAATATAAACAAAATGAGTCACCTTTTTTTATTTAAAAGATGATTTATTTATGGAATTATCCTTGTTTAATGCCCATCACTTTGATGGGCCTGTTTGTCAGGAAGCACTGTGACATTATGTCATAAAATGCATTTAATTTTAAAATGGTGCCTTTCTTGGGGATTTTCCTTCTATGCTCCTGATATGAGCACAGTTTCTAATATCTTCTATGAAAAGGATTTACTGTGCATTCTCATTTTGTTCTTCTTTTCACACACTGCTACACTGCAGTGAAAACATAATCTCACAAGGTGTAGCTATACTTAAATGTGGGCATTTACATTTTAGATATAATTACCTACTGAAGGGAATGGCCCTCATAAAAAAAGCTGTGGGAAAAATACATTTATTAGGCGCCCCCGTTTACTTCTCGTGTAGGCTACATGGTTTTACTAATGAAAGCAATGACATTTGTTGTTACACAACTGCACATGCGTAGTGTGTTGTTAATAAGACAATTTATGTCAGAAAATATATTAACTTTTTTTTAATTCATAAGGACAGTCATCCATGAAGGCAGAATGATGATTTAACAGAAACTATTAGAGTTTTATTCATGAGTCCATCTCACGGAGTGTCTGCAGCATGTGTGCAGAGGGGACAGTCCGCAGCTGTAGGCAATTTTGAGCTAGAAGACCTTGATACCCACAATTCATTCCTATGCATAACTCAATTAAAAACAAATCTTTGCGTTTGCTGTGACAGGCCCGTGATAATGTAATGCATGTTTAACAGCCTTACAGCCTTGTTGATTTAGTCCGCAGAGAAACTGCCTCACTTGTTGCAATTTAGGACTCCGGCAAAGTTTCAGCAACTGCTTTGAACTCAATAATTTAAAGACTCGTGGCAAGTTTTTGCACATTATTTTACTGTAACAATGTGCCATTATTTAAACATCTATAATGGACGCTGATATTGCCTGAGAAGCACCTCTGTGGTTCACTGACAGCTGACGGTCAGACAGTCATTTCACAGTGTCGAGAGAAGCATGAATGTGCATTTGTTGGGTTTGTGGGGTCACTTTTAAAAGGCCCACAGCATGGTTATAGCTCAATGAACTCACAGTACATCAGTATTAGCATATATGACCAGAAAGGAGCATGCACGGGCCTGTAAGCATTTTCATAACTCGCCGTCATTTCTCTCTTTGCACGTTTAGGTGAAAAACCGTTTAAATGTGAGTTCGAGGGCTGCAACCGGAGGTTCGCGAACAGCAGCGACAGAAAGAAACACTCTCACGTGCACTCCAGTGATAAACCCTACATGTGCAAGGTCAGGGGCTGCGACAAGTGTTACACCCACCCCAGCTCCCTGCGAAAGCATATGAAGCTCCACTGCACCAGCAAGGCCCACGACGCCAAAAGCGGTGACGCGCGTCCCGGTGACGGGGGTCACATCGCGGAGGCCAGGTCGACCCGAGTCCCGGATGGAGCCCAGATCAGCCCCTCTCACCCCCCCACCTCAACCCAAGATGTCCCCCTGTCCCCAGAGAGTCGAGACGAGTCGACCCTGAGGTCACGTTTCCATCACACGTTTGACAGCAGTTTGGACTACTCCACGCACAGGTCACAGCCTCTCTTGGACCCTTTGTTGCTACAGAGAGGCAGCTACAGGTCCCAGTCCTCCCAGTACCCCTGCGGCCAGACGGGTCACACGTTTGCCCAGAGCTCAAGGACTTTCCCCTCCACTTCTCCCTTTCAGAAAAGTATTGTCAATGGATGGTACACATGCCACAGCGGCGTGGACTCCTTCCCACCAAAGCAATGTAACAACATCCCGTCTCTCTGAGTTCCTGTTGGGACACATGCGGGCTACTTCCAATTTTTGTTTTGTTTTTTTTGGGGCCTATTTTTTTCATGTTATAGCTACAACTCACGGCTGTATCTCTATTACTCTCTGTATTTTTGTGAATGTTGTATCAAATATTTTGTGGCGCGTCCTGAGTCATTCTATATTGAAACCTTGCATTGCAAATGTGGCGAGCTTTATTTGTTGTCGTGAGGCCTGTTTGGTTGGGTTTTGGCTTGTAGCCTATAGCTACATCTCCCCACAGTGGGTTGTAGGAACTTTAACAAAGTGTATATGCCTATAATTGTTCGCTGTGTTACATAATTATTAAAGATATCTATCTCAAGTGAGGCAAAAAATGACAAAGGATTTTAATGGAAATCTGCGTGTTGAGTCTTCTGCACTTACAGGCTATTGCTGGAAAGTGAAAAGGAAAAAAACGTTTTGCTGAATGTAGCCCTAAGTGTAGGGGACTTTGTTGAATGTAAACTATAGGTGTAATGTATGTCGGGAAGATAGAAACATTATTCATGTCTATATGTATGTCGCAAGATGAAATAAATATCTGAAAGATGGATTCTCAAGTTACATTTTGAGACCTAACAAGCCTGCGTGATGGGCCTGAAGCATGATTTGTGTGTAATTAAGAGCGGGCCTACTGCGAGGCTCAGTAGGTTTTATTCTCTGCCCTTGATTAAGATCCACTGTTCTCTCCCTTTTTCATTACACATTCGTATTCTTGTTTGTAAGTAGCCTATATTTCACATTTCTGTGCAAAGTAAGACCAGTGTGAGCATAAACCAGTGTTCCTGATACTATTAAAAACGTTTAATTAGCATACAGTTCTACTGTACATAAGCCTACTGTATAATTAATTATGTATTCTATATTTTATTAAAGTGTCTATATTCTCTTTGATCAGGCGTGTGTGGTTAAACCCAATCAATGCATTTTCATCGTGAACTCAAACTTTTGCCTTTTTTCTTTCTCTTTTTTTTTTTATTTTTTTGGTAGGCCATGTGAGCAAATTTGGTGCAAACTGAATGTGGCTGTGTAAGGAGGGTGTTCTCACGCGCAGAAGATAGGTCCTGTGTTTATAGATGACCAGGCCCTTTAACAGAGGCATTACTGGGTGGCTCGAGGTAGCTCCATCTCACGTGAGTGAGCGGTGACATGTGAAAAACTACAGTTTCATAAAAAAAAAACGAAAACCGGCTATAATTTGACGGTCAGTCGGTCCTTTCTCTCAACCAAAGAGCGTTCGCTTTTTTCTATCAGGGTTTAGCTCTCTTAACTGCGCCACGAGCGCGTGCGTCTTCTCTGGATACAGGTGTACTTGCCACAAGGTCACGCGCAGTCTGTCCTTTCAGCGAGCACGTCCACGTGTGCTTTTTTTTTGTTTCCACTTCAACTCACGTTTGCTTACTGTATATCCTATTAGTCTCCTTTTTATATTTCCATTAGATTCCTGTCTCCTTCTGTCTTTCTGTCTCACGCACACACGCACACATGCACACTCGCACACACCAACATACGCCCCAAAGCGTCTTATTTTGAAGGTTGGCAAGCTGCACACACAAATATGACCCATGTAGCCTCAAAATATTGCATTGTGCGAACACATTGTTTTGTTGTTGTGTTTACTCTATAAAGGCTTTTACATTCAAAGAATTTTGAGCTCTTCACTTTGAGTCTGAATTAATTGTTTTGCTGGATTTCACTGTTTATAAAATCCCAGTAGCACTCAGAGAGGAAATATATGTTCTGTTTCAATTGGCTTTTGATAAAAGTTGAAAAGTTGGAAAAAAGATTTTTTTTTAAAAGGGATGTTAGTTTTCATTTTCAACTGCTAATGTTTGCTTCACTTCACCTAAGTTGCAGTTTCGCTGACATATTTGCTCATGTTTGCCTAATTTTTGGGTTTTTTTGTTGTACCTTCTGGAACGTAAATTTCCAACAAACACCTCATTATTTTAGAGAAATAAGCTGAGAAGATTTCTTTTTGAAGCCTCGGCAAAGCTTGAATTCAGTTTCATCACTAATCCTGGCGCAGAGCTAAACTCATCTGTACTGAGTTATTATTGTCACACAGCTCATTCTTAGTTTACACTCCCTGTTTCCTGTGTCAGAAATTACACCTCTCTCTAACAATATTACTCTCCTAAAAGGGAGAGTGGTTGGAAACTGAGTGACCAGGTTGAAGTACAGTTAATGGGACATTTTATGGTCTGTAACTAAAGGTGATGTACACACTGAGTGTCTGTCCTTGTCTCGCTCAGGAAGGTACTGCAATAGCTTGATTATTGTGGAGGTCGGATGGGTCACAATTATGATGAATAAGGAATAATGGGGGAAAAAAAAAACCTTTGCTCCGCTGCCAGAAGCAAAGCTTTATACTTTGTACCTGTATATATGGATATCAGCATTTTATACCATTAAACATGCGGATGATGACCATTATATATACCAATTTGCTTCACACATATCAAAAAGAAATCAGGTCAAAAGTGCATTAATTTTACATTTCTTTGAAATATATGCTTACAGTGATCTGATAGCTGTAACAAGGATGCTCTTTATTCCAGTGAAAGGATTTGATGAAGGGGCAGTTGTCTGGATGGCTACAGAAAGACATGGGGATGAATGCTCTGAGGCTGTATTAGAAGATGTTTTCCTTCGAGTGTTGACCATATTAACACATTTTAGGTTCTTTAAAAGTTCAGAAGACTTTGGTTATGGTGCTGTTATTTGGTTGTTATTTGTAAGACAAAATAAAAGTGAGATAAACCTGCAAGCCGCTCATATTATTTTTGTTGCAACATTCATCTTTCTATATTTATAAAAATGTAAAAAAAAAAAAAAAAAACAGAAAACAAACCTGTTTTAATCCTGCAATATTTCTGAGTGAAACGTGCAAAGTAAGCGCCTACATTTTATGTACTTGCAGTGTAATTGTTCTCGAGCTGATGCAAAGCTCTGATGAACTTGTTTATGCATTTTATGTGCTGCTAAAACTGTGTGTTGCACGTGATACACATGGGGATGCATCTTTTGGGAAAGTCAGATATTTTTGATGATGCATTTTGCAAATCCCTCTTGATTTGACCGCAGTTAATTTTAGTTTTTAGCTTTCCGTGAGGCATCTTAATGAAAACTATCCACAAGTTGAAGTATCTAGATTTCAAGTTTGCTAAGATGACAACCAGTTTGAATTCTGTAAATCGTCAATCTGTCCATCCATTAGCTATACACACTTATCCTTTAGGGCCGAGGGTGGGCTGGAGCCAATCCCAGCTGACACTGGACGAGAGGCAGGGTACACCCTGGACAGGTCCTGCTTAGACCTTGTTTTTTTTTTTAACAAATATGTTTTTGCTAACGTGCAGTGAATGCGTACCTGATAGTGTACCACTGCATCAGTACTACTTAGACTGATAATAATAATTTTCATGGGGTTGAAGATTTTGTGTTAAGTAGTTTTAGATGGTCTAGATCATTTAAAGTGGCTGATATTGTAAGATATTTCAATTGTGAAGTGCTTCTTTCTTCAAGTAAATTGAGGTGGACCGGGTTGGCTTTGATTAGTGTACTTGAATGATGTGATGACTGAAATTTCTGAGATCAGTTCCTCTTTCTTTCTACTGCAACCTTATCAATAGCTTGCATCAAATACTTTTGGTCATACTGTAGTATCGATGTTTTTAAAGTAATGTCAAAATATTCTGTATTTCTATCTCATCTTCTAAACCCCAACTACTGTATGCACTGTCACATTCTGCCCTTTCTCCTCCATTTCTAAAAATAGTCAATCTCTCCACAGAAAACATAATAGGGGTGATCAAACATTGTTTTGTACTCAATGAAGCTTGTGTATTTGCATATGGAAAGCTGATTTTCCATTTCTTGTGTGAGGACATGTATAAAAACCAAAAGGCAGCAACCTAGACTGTGAATTTCTGTGATTGCAGCATGTGAGCTTTTCGTCGTATACTCTGACCAAGCTGTGGTAATATTCCATAATCATTGAACCCTGCCACACCCTTCCCCCCAGTAATCACAACTGATTAGACCTCCGCTTCCCAGTATGGCACTTGTCCGCCGCCATCTTTACTCTTGCGCTCTCTGCCTAGCAACAAGCAGAGGCGCCATTTTGGACAGGGTATACAGGGTATACATCAATTTAATGTAAATAAATCCATTTCACCTTGGAATCCATTGAATTGCTATCTTGCCCCCCTGGGTCGCTGTTATGCCATACTTGGGTTGAGCCCCAGCTGTGTACCAGGGGGTGGGCTGCTTTGTCACACCAGGTCTTTGGTTTTATGCATCATCATAACCATGTATGACATCTTGCGTAACTTACACTGTGCGGCTCCCATACTTTCCCAAGTATGGTTTAAGCATCCAGCTCGGGCTGTGTCAGCGTTGACTCTGACTGACTGAGTGCCATTTTAATTGGATCTCTGGCTTCTCCCCCATCCTCCCCAGGTCAAGCCAGTGGTGCTGTTGCTCCCCAACTTGCTTTCTTTTCATCCACCCCTCTGTGCCCCCTCCCCTTTTTTTTGCCAGGTCCTCTTGTTCCTCCGTCTCATCTATCTCTACCCCTGCAGCTTCTGGCTATCTTCACCCTCTATGGCTCCTTCATGATGGCCCCTAATCTCTGCCAGTGTGGTTCCATGGTAAGTAGGTGTCCTCCACCAGATTCTCCCCCAAACATGCATGGAACTTGACTCATATATCTGCTTTTTTTTGTACACTGCCCCTCTGTCCATGGAAAATGGCAACCCCACATGGTAAACTGGATGCAGCTGCTATGCTGCTTTCGGTTTTTTCCACATTCTCTTTCCAGCTGGAGAATGGTGGCTACTGAGGGGTTTGGCATCAAGGCGTCAGTGATGCTAACAATACATAATGAAGGCAGTGTAACAATGAAGAGAGATTGATTCTAGAGTAAACGACTGAACAGTATGTAATACAACTGCCAATAAGATGAAACAGTGGAGTGAAATTAACATGTAGCTCATGTCTTCCTGAGAACATGAGTAAGGTAATCTGCTTCATGTCGAAGCCTGTGTTAATTTGACAGCTTGACAATTAATAAGCCTATAAAACACCTCATCAAAAGCAGGGTTCTTATGTAAGACAATGCAATCATCACAATTATATGCATGTGTTTAGTGTTTAGTTTACAAACCATAAAATGGTGAATAGGAAGTCCCAGCATTGTGCTCTTATGATTTATCCGGACTGATCTTAGATTTCTTTCTCATCCCCATCTGCACTGCAGTTTTCTGATTTCAGCGGTGCCAGCCCCCTGTGTAGTCCAGCCTGTACCAGGGCTTATTAAACTAGGCTCCTATTCACTCTCCCCAACCGTCGCTCCACTGTCAACTTAAGCCCAAGCCCCTCGAACACTCAGCTCTCCGACTATTGTTGCAGAATTTGCCAAAAATGGAGTATCACTGAACAGTCAATATGCAGCGGGTTAGAGAGAAAGGCCCCGCCTATCCTCATATCTAATGCATATTTGTCTTTTGATGCATTACAATTTACCCCTGTGGATGGTTCTTAAAAAGA